ACCTCCTCATCTATTATTGGGAGTGGACTACATCCACCCTGATTGAACTGGCCCTGTCAACACTGGTTCTCCACTTGCGAAGTAACTCCCTGCTCTCCATGTGTCAGCATATAATGCCTGCATCTGTAACTTTCACTCTATGCATCCGAAGAAGTGAGGTTTTTACCCACGAAAGCTTATGCCCAAATAAATCTGTTAGTCTTTAAGGTGCCACCAGACTCCTTGTTGTTTTTAAAAAGGTGGCACCATCAGAATGCTGAGGCCTATACAGAAAACACTGTTGTTCATAGTCCTACCTGGGGAGACCATCTGCAGACCCTTCAAGACGCAGTTCTTAGGACCAGCCCCACAACATGTAACTAGCCATGACTGAGGTACCCAATTTGGGGTACCACATAGGGTGCAGCCTCATGAAACTAGTGATTGACAAGGCACAGACCCTAATACCATGCCCAATTCCCTGGAAGAAGAGGCAAATGAGGTATTTTATCAGCCTGGCAATTTATTACTGGAGGTTTATCCTCAGTTTTACCTCAATCTCAGCCTGCCTTAAAGACCTAATTAAAGGTAAACCACCCAAGGAAGATCTGGTGGGATTGGAACAGGGAGGAAGCTTTTAATGAACTGAAAGCACAACTATGCCGGGCACCTGTGCCCTTCGGCCCTGATTTTTCTTGTGAATTCATACTGCACATAGATGCCTCACATGTCTGCCTAAGTGCCATGCTCTCAGAAGACACTGAAGAAGACCACCACTCAATCATATACTTGACTAGGAAGGTATTCCTTAGAGAAAAGGCCTACTCAGTTACTGAAAAGTAGGCACTAGGGATCGAATGGGCCACAGATTCTCTCAGGTATTACCTGCCCGGTAGCCCCTTCTCCTTGATCACAGATCATGATACCCTCTACTGGCTCCATACCATGAAAGACGTGAATCCATGTATAATGCAATGGTACCTGGTGCTACAACCCCATAGTTTCAAAGTGCAACTCCAGACAGGAAAGGACCGTGATAATGCCAGTTACTTTTCCTGGAAAATCAGAGATGGAGATTACCTATGCCAAGACTGCAGGGGTGAGGTTGTGAGGGGTAATTTCCTCAGTCTCAGAGAGGCGGAAGCATATGAGCCCTTCTGGGCTCAGCCAGCACTAATGAGATACACCTGTGAGACTTGATCTGCCTGGAGGGAGGAAGCTTAAAAAGGGGAAGCCTTCCACAGGAAGTGGTGGTGACTAGGGAGAAAATTTCTATACCTGAGAGACCACTGGCCACGTAGACAGACCAGCAAGAGGAAGACAACTGCAGAACTTGCAGCCCCTGAGACTGCATGAACCAGGTATAAAGCAGGGGTGACCAAAAGGAGGGCTTGGAGGCAGACCCTACCCCTGATTAAGGACAGAATACCTGCAGATAAGCCAAACCCCAAAGGAGAGACCGAAAGACTGCCTAAGAGACTGACCACCTTTGCCTTTTACTTTTACTCTGATTCTCCCTCTCCCAGGGGAAGGAGAGGGAAAAGGGCCTTTTTAAAAAAATCCCTTAAGTGCCACAAACAGGGGAAGGGCTCCGTAAGCAGCTCAAATCATGGTTTAGAGGGGACAGGGTGGGGATGAGGTACCCACTATAAGATAATTGAAAGATGTAAACACCGAGAAAGAAATGAGAAGGAATTATTGAAAGCAGTAATAGTAAACAACAGTAATGGAATTAAACTAAGAAAAAAAGAAGTTTATATTAAATATTAGGGAAGACTTCCTGACAGAGATTTTTCAGACTGCAGAATAGTCTTTCAAGGGAAGTATTAAACTCTAGTGCTTATGATTTTAAAAGCACTAACAGGCCAAACACTATGCTGAGTGGTGTAGGGAACAAATCCTGCATTTACAGAGGATAGATGAGATGACATAAGGTCTTTTTAGCATTTAACTTCTAATTATTCTAATCAATATGTTCCAAGTGCTTAAATGTGCATTTTACTTAAAATTCTTAATATGTTCCTCTAATTTTATGCTAAGAAGAGATGTTAAGAGGAATCACATGAAAATGCTGATATTTTGTGGTGCAAATGTACATATATAATCATTTAATGGATTGACTGTTTAATTCTAATACTCTATTTTCTGTTTCAGGGTACAAGTTGAATTTTATATGAACGAAAATACATTTAAAGAGAGACTGAAGCTATTTTTCATCAAAAACCAAAGATCAAGTAAGCAGTTTTGATTAATTTCTGTTACATATATTTGTTAAATATAGGAGATGAAATCTTGGTCCCATTAGAGTCAATATCAGGAGTTCCACTGACTTCAATTGGGCCAAGATTTCATCCATAGGAAATTAGCAGATTCTGTTTTTAACAGAATTTCCATAATGAATTCTCAAAAGACATTAGCAATTTAGTGTTTTGGGTTTTTTTTCTTTTTCATTTTGTTGGGGACAACTATTTATTGACTGGGTTTTATTTTTGCAATGTCTTCAGATGGACTAGTTTCCATGGATCTGACATGTCAGTGTATTTGGATGGGTCATCACATAGCTTTCTAAATTAGAAGAAAAGTTCCAGAGGCATGTGGGCTTCCAACCTGTTTTATTTTATCAAAATCCTCTTAAATTAATTTCAAACTCTATCTAGGTTGCAAAAATAATTTAGAAAGGTGACCAGCTGAAAGGGCATCCCGGCTTCTAAGGCATTTCTGAACATGGTATTTCAGATACAAACAAATTTTAGTTGCCTTGTAATCTTTTTCCTTCAGCCCTGATTCAGCTGGCTATCCACATTCACCAAAGCACATTAACTGCTTTGCTGAATGGGGCCTAGATGATTTTTCACTCAGATTGTCACATTTAAAACTAACCGTGATCTTTTCCCTGCTTTTAAAATTAACTAACACCAAATATGCACTGGGGAGAAATTCACCCCATGCAAAGAGCTTCCATCATGCTGTATCCATAACTTATTTACAACCTGTATGAAAGCTCAAATTCAACCCCAGTGCAAGATTCCCCCCACTACCTAGGATGACTGCAGGTAGGGTGACCAGATGTCCTGATTTTATTGGGGCAGTCCCAATATTCAGGGCTTTTTCTTATATAGGCACCTATTACCCCCCCACCCCGATTTTTCAGACTTGCTATCTGGTCACCCTAATTGCCGGAGGAAACTGTGGCCAGAAGATCTACGTAAGATGCAGTCCATACATGTTGTGGCAAGAGCCTGCAAACCAGACCTGCTTAGGCCATCACAGAAAGCCACAATGGGCAGGGGCTATGACATTTACCTTTATATTCATCCAGTCATTCCCACACCCCATGCAACAGCCTGAATGAAATAAAATCTGATGTGTATCCCTTAACTGTGAGGAAGGCAACTACACACTCTGGCCTCATGTGTTAGCATTGTTGATGTTACTACCTTTTGCCCTCTACCCATATAGAGCCAGATTACAGTGGCTTTATGCAGGTGGGGGAATGGATTTTACCCTAAGTACTTAAGTACAGCTCAGGTGGGTGCAGGGCTTGGTGCAGATAAAAGATTATTTTCACCCTTGCATTATACGGAGAAGGGGTAAGTGGACAGATTTTTAAAGAGAGAGACAAGGTGGTTGAGGTAATAACTTTTTATTGGACTAACTTCTGTTGGTGAAAGAGACAAGCGTTCAAGCTACACAAAGTAATTTTCCAAGACTTGAAGAGCTCAGAGAGTCACAGCAAAATACAAGGTGGAACAGATTGTTTAGCATAACAGACACATTTAAAATGAAGTGGTCCCTTAGAATATGTGTTAGCGTCCTCATGCTAAACAATCTGTTCCACTTTAAATTTAGCTGTGACATTCCGAATACCTTTCCCAGACCTGGAGAAGAGCTCAGTGTAGCTCAAAAGCTTGTCTCTTTCATCAACAGAAGTTGGTCCAAAGTGGTCATCCACTTTGTCTCTCTAATATCCTGGGACCAACACTGCTACACCACCACTGCAAACAGATTTTTAAAAGCTTTCAGTGGTAGCCATGTTAGTCTGTATCAGCAAAAAAACCGAGGAGTCCTTGTGGTACCTTAGAGACTAACAAATTTATTTGGGCATAAGCTTTCGTGGGCTAGAACCCACTTCATCAGATGTATGAAGTAAAAAATACAGGAGCAGGTATAAATACAAGAAAGGATGGGGGTTGCTTTACCAAGTGTTAGGTCAGTCTAACGAGATAAATCAATTAACAGCAAGATACCAAGATTTTTAAAAGGTATTTAGGCAGGTAGTGATGCAGATAAGCACCTAGTGGGATTTTCAAGAGTGAGTAGGAATTCCAAATTCCATTGAAATCAAAACTGAAAATTATCAGTAAATGGAGCAAATTCAGCATGTGTGAACTCAGACTCCATTTTAGGAATACTGTTGTGATCAGTGCAGCTCTGAAATAGAACAAGCAAAAGAGACCTAAAGACTTCAGACTTGGATGTCTAAATCCCTCTTTGAGCAACAAATAGAAGTGGTTGGATTTTCTTCCCTCTCTCCCCCCCCCCTTGATACTCTTACTCACACTCAATAGAACTCTACTTGACTAAAGTGGGAATACTCATGGTGTAAATTACTATTCAACATGAATAAGGCCCATGGTTAGGTCAAAGTACAAACATCCCAACAAGAAGTATTGTATGAAAAATTCTTAAAGTACTTCAGAACAATCATGTTACCATGCAAAATAGACAGTAACTCTTCTGTATACCTTGAGTCAGTGAATAAAAATGGTATTGAATATATATGTAAGACTATATTTGCACTCAGATTAATCAAAACAGTGGAGATTTCTGTATAGCAGAAATATATTCTGAACCTACAGCCTTGAAGCAGTGATTTCAGCATCCACATCTCAATCAATCTTCAGTGTTGCTTTTAAATCTGTAAAATCTTCTCAGCACACATTGAAGTCAGTATAAGCTTCTCTAATGCACACAGCTCATGTCAAAACTACAGGGCCGGCTCCAGGCACCAGCCGACCAAGCACGTGCTTGGGGCGGCACCTTGTAATGGGCGGCCAATCTTGGGGTGGCGGGGGGCACTCGGGGTTTTTTGTTTTTTGTTTTGGTTCGGCGGGGCGGCGCTCAAGGGTTTTTTTGTTGTTGTTTTTGGTTCGGCTGGGCGGCGCTCGAGGGGGTGGGTTGTTTTTGTTTCGGTGGCGTGGCGCGGCGCTTGGGGGGGGGTGTTTCGGGGGCGGGGGGCTTGGGGGGGGGGGATTTCCGCGGCACGGCGCTCAGGGGGGTGTTTCGGTGGCGCGGCGCTTGGGGGGATGTTTCGGCTGGGCGGTACTCTTTTTTTTTTTTTGCTTGGGGCAGAAAAAAGGTTAGAGCCGGCCTTGCAAAACTATCTGCTTTTTTGCTTGTGTAGCAATGCTGCAGAAACATTCCTACATATTTGGTGGACGTGGCATACTTACCAGTTATGTACATAGCCTTTTGAGTACGGGCAAATTAACCTATTTGGAATTCAATTCACAGATCAAGACATAGTTTTCATTATGCTGACACCTACCAAATTTATGTTTCTGGCAGCTAATTGGAAGTTTACATACCAATTAAAATAAGCATCTGGTTCCAGAAAATTGGGAATATAGTTGTTATGAAAAAATTGACATGCTGAGAGTGGAACTTGCATTTTTGAAATGTAATAGCCCTTTTTGGATTACACTAAGAGTAGGGATCCAGGAAAATGGGCTCACTTAGGACAATAGAGAATGTTTCTTTGTTCCGTGTGTATGTAGTCCTTTTTATATAAGAAGGGGTTATATGTATGTAACACAATCTCCTATACTCCCTTGATTGTATGTTAACTAGTCTCTGGGCATGTTGCAAAGAAGGAATTGCTTTGCCCGTACGCTATTGTGATAATGACAGATTGACATATTTAAAGTGCTATTGATAGGGGATTTATTGGATTATATTAATCCTCCATTCCCCTCACCGCCCACCCCGCCATTTCTTTGTTTCAGTTGTCCTGCTCACAAGCTCCTGCTTGCATGTTTGATTACACTGTTGATGCCAATTCTCATGTTAATGCATCACTATATTTCCACGTAATTAATATTGTTAGACACCTATGAACCTGGCTCTTCAATTGCTCCCTTAGTCATTTATTTTCCTACTCATTAGAGCAGGAAGGAAATTCTAAATATATATATATATATATTTGCAAAAATAAACACATTTGGATCGACTGAAACATTGACTAAATTCCTGTTGATTTTGGCAAGTTGTTTTGGTTGAAACAAAAATAATTTTGGAAATGTTGAATTGGTTCATTTTGACATTATCAAAATAGCCGAAAATGAAAAAAAACTTTTTACTTTGACCAGGGGATTCAGACATCATTCACCAAACTAAAGAGCAGTGGTTAGGCCATTCTGTGTGGAGGTGGAAGACATGAGTTTGAATAGCCACTCTGGAGCAGGAACTTGACTGCAGGTCTCCCTTCCCTCCCAGTTGAGTGTCCTAACCACTGGGCTATATTCTGGGGTAGGAATTGGTCCTGTTGAAACTGTTCCCCTTTGTATAAGATACCTAACTATCCACTGGACTACAGTGTGACTGACTCTATAGTCCAGTAGTTAGAGCACTCAGTGGGGAGAGGGCAGGGGACACCTAGATTCCAGTCCCTGCACCAATGACTTTTCAAGTAATTTTATACAACATGGAAAAGCTTCAACAGGAGAGAGACACAGACCCACCCCAGAGTACCCAATAGGCTGGTAGTTAGGATATTCACCTGGCAGGGTGTTGGAAAAGATCTGTGTTCACGTTTGTGCTCTAGAGCAGGGACTCAGATCTAGCCAGGTGAGTGCCCTAAATACCGCTCTATTGAATACAAAGGGGAGGAGTGGCAGCACTTTATCTGTATTACCATAGAACGTAGGAGTCCTAGTCATGGACCTCTTCCTTTTCTTCCCCTACAGTCCACAGATTTGCAGGAAGGCTTCCACAAAGAGAGCTAGTTAAAATGACATGGTCTTTAAACTGTAAGTTAAAGTAGTTGGAATCAGGGAAGCAAGTCTGAGCAATCCTATTCAAGATCCCATAGCATATTCAAAGCATTACTGGTTCTTATGACCTGTACACTATAACTAATGATTTTTTTAAATGCAATTTCCAATATTAAAAGTTTACTGTAAACACACCCAGGAAACAGGTCTCCTCACAACAAAGTTATCAGTCCATTGATATG